CTATGTTTATGAGAGATATCGATATGAGGCTTTGGTATTTGCTGTTAGTGTGTTTTTCTAGTTTTGACAGATAACAAGTGGCCTTCTAAATTGAATTCAGAAAAGTTTCTTATCTCCTAAAGCAGTGGTTTTCAACCTTCCTACTGAAGTGACACTTTAATACGGCTGCTCATGTTGTGGTGACCCCCCAACCATAACATTATTTTGTTGCTACTTCAAAATTGTAATTTTGCTACTGTTACGCATCATAATGTAAATATATGGTATGCAGCACATCTGAATGTGATCCCTCTAAAGGGGTCACTATCCCCAGGCTGAGAATTGCTGTTCTAGGATTTGTGTAAGAGTTTTATCATTTGACCCCAGACTTTTACTTGGGTAATTGATTATTATTGTACATGTAATGCATCTAGCACACAGAAGGTAACTTTACCTTCTATTTCTTCTTCACCTCACTTTGGAGACTGGCAATTAAGAAATGTGTGAGCACTGTAAGTTACTGAGTTTACTGGAATGGATTTCATTCATTTTTATATTTATTTATGTTTTCACAGCTTTATTCATAGGTACATTGCTTTCAAAACATTTTAGTTTTGAAATCTATTTTCTTATTACTATTCTGATTTGATTTAAGATATGTGACAGATTTATAACAGATGTCCTTAAACTATCATAACACATTTACAATAGCTAACAATGTCATTATCTCCTGGATTTATTTTATTTTATTTAATGTGTGTGGGAATTCTGCATGATGTCTTTGTCCCTCATGTGTGCAGTGCCTTCAGAGGCCAGAAGAGGACGGTGAATCACTTAGGATATTCTACCTGATGTGAGCTGCCTTATGGATATCAGGGATTGATCTAGGGTCCCTTGAAAAAGCACATGGTACTTTAGTCACACAGACATCTTTCCACCTTCAGTTTGGGTTTTATTTCTACTAACTAATTTTTCTCCTAAAGCTTCTAGGTTATATTCTTTTGTTTTTTACATGTCTACAGAGAAGACACTGATGACATGATAGTGGCTTTGGTTTTCCAGGTTGCTCTAGCAGCCAACTGTGAATCAGCTAAGACCTCTCCAAAGACTGTCTCATATTCCCATCTGCCTATATTTGTGGTACTTCAAAACTTCCTCCTGTTCATTACATTCAAACTCCATCTTTGTCCACACACAAGCATTTTTTTCCACAGTAGCTTCTTTTCAGTGATATTTCTACATTTCTTAATTGGGTAATATTTTTTGGTTAAGTTAAATCTCTTCACATTGACTTTAACTTAGAATCTGTTGGTATACATAATGCAGTGGGACCTGGGAATAAGTGGCTTGTTGTATCCAATCTTCACCTGTACACCTTTGCATTCCCACTGGCTTCCCACATGCAAGCTTTTCAATGGTGCTATTACTGTTCTTCCTCTAAGAACATGGCACCGACTCTCTGACCCTTAGATATAATTTATAAGCTAACATTACCACTCATTATTCTATCCTCTTTTCACAGTTTCAAATAAGATAAAAATGCATGTAATTAAATATTTTACTTTTTCCTTGCCTATAGTTTCTGAATGTGTTTTTGGTTGTATATATATGAAAAAAAAAACATTCAACTGAAAGTAAGCTATTTAGTAAGTCAGATCTTACACAGTGCTCACATGATCTGCTCACACTGTGCTGAGACTGAACTCTCAGAACGCCAAAGAAGAACAAGTACCAATTAATTCAGTACACAGCTTCATGGTGTGTAATGTGAAAAATTGTAGCTATGCTACTGGTAGCCTAATTCTGTTGTATGATAATGGCTTAATACAGGAAAGCACGGCTGGAGTCTCATCCTTCAGACCACTCCCAAATTCCATAGTTTCTCATTAATCCATTTGTTTAAATTGGCTGCACAGCATTCTGTTATTTGCCACTAGAAATGCTGACTTATAGTTTCTTTGTCTTTGATCAATACTAATATTTGGAAGGCTTGTCAAAAGGATTGATTGGGAGAGCTCAAATGATGCATTTACTACAAATGCCTGCAAACAATTAGTTGTTTACTGTCTTATTGCTGTTTTTTTCTTTTATTATTTAAATTCACTTTCTTCCCTCCACCTTCCTTCACTCCCTATTTTACATATGTTTTAAACAGCATGCATTCCTGTGTGCCAAGTGCAAGCTGACAACACCTGGAGTCCAGGAGAGGCCACTGAATCCCCTGGAAATGGAATAATGGGCAGCTTTGATGGGTGCTTGATCCTGAACTTGGTCCACTACAAGAACAGTATGTGCTCTTAACCGCTAACTCATTTCTCCAACCCCTCCATGCGTTATTTTAGAGCAGTATATCATAACACCTAAGTAAAAATTACACATTTGCAGATGTCATTTTGCAGTCATGGTCAAGTGTGTTATCGACATTAAGATTTAGCTTCTGTGTCTATGAACTAGATAAGTAGTATATGTGTTTCATGATGCTGCTTCAGAATTAAATGAGATTCCATCTTACACTTATCAGAATGGCTAAGATAAAAAACTCAAGTGACAACACATGCTGGAAAGGATGTGGAGAAAGGGAACTCTCCTCCATTGCTGGTGGCAGTGCAAACTTGTTCAACCACTTTGGAAATCCATCTGGTGCTTTCTCGGAAAACTGGGAATAGCTCTACCTAAAGACCCAGCTATACCACTCCTGGACATAAGACGTTATGTCCCAAAAGACGTTCCACCGTACAACAAGGAAACTTGCCCAACTATGCTCATGACAGCTTTATTCCTAATAGCCAGAATCTGGAAACAACCCAGATGTCCCTCATCAAAAGAATGGATACAGACATTGTGGTACATTTGCACAATGGAATACTACTCAGATATTAAAAACAAAGAAATCATGAAATTTGCAGGCAAATGGACGGAACTAAAAATATCATCTTGAGTGAGGAAACGCAGACACAGAAATACGCACATTGTATGCACTCATGATAAGCAGATATTAGACCTACAGTGCAGGATAACCATACTAAAATCCACAGGTCCAAAGAAGCTAAGCAACAAGGAAGACCCTAGGGAGGATGCTTACTTCTCATTCAGAAGGGCAAACAGGAAGCTGGGAAGAAAGGGAACAGGAAGGGAGCCTATCACAGATGTTCTCTGAAAGACTCCACTCAGCAGGGGATAGAAGCAGATTCAGAGAATCACAGCCAAAGTGCAGGGAGTCTTATGAAAGAAGTGGAGGACTTGGAGGGGACAGGGGCTCCACAAGCAGACCAGCAAATCCAAAATTCTGCACCCAGGCAGCCTACAAAGACTTGATACATCATCCAAGGACCATGCATGGAGAAGACCTAGACTCCCTGCTAAGAAGTCGACCATAGACAGCTCAATCTCCAAGTGAGTAGGGGAGCAGGGACAGATTCTCTGAAAGGAATTGTTGCCTGCTCTTTGATCACTTCCGCCTGGCAGTGTGGAATTACCAGAACACAGAGGAAGAGGAAACAGACAATTATGATGAGACTTGATAGGCTAGAGTCAGATAGTAAGGAAAGAGGACTTTACCTTTTCAGTGGACTAGGGGCGGGCAATGGAGGGAAGAGGAAGGGAAGAGGTACTGGGAGGAGATGAGGGAACGGACTACAACCAGACCACAAAATAAATAAATTGTAAAAAAAATAATAAAATAAAAAATTTAAAAATTAAGTGAAACTATGCACATAAAATTCTGACTTCTTAATTTGTTCTTATATTTCAAACAAACAATTCAGTTCAATTAAATTTATTTCACACATTGTTTCCTGTTGAGTACCAAACCCATATCGTTTCTCAGAATCCCTGAGACACCTCTCATCACACAACAACCCAGTTCCTTTGCGTTCTGCTAGCCTATCCTGACTGTACTCAAATCATTATTTTTAACGTTGTTTCTTTGACAGGAAGTACTTTGGGCTTGTAAACTATTATAACCAGTTCTTTGACCTTGGAACTCATACAAATAGCACCACTCATTTATTTCAACATTTTGTTCTTTTTACAGCAGTCAGCTTGATTTATTTTACCCCTTTAGATCTGTGACAGTGACTTTATGAGCCTACCTTGTAGAATCACTTAAACAGTTGCTGATATAACATGGTATCCACTAACAAGACTAGAAAAACAGTTTTAAAAACACTGCGATAAATGTAGAGAAGAGGTAAGCACCTAGTTAAAAAGCACTTTAAAACTCTACAGTTGATTTGAATCATTAAATTTCTTTTACTTTTACCTAAATAGTCAACTCGTTTCTGATTTCTTATGAATGCTACAATAGAGAAGAATCCGTAAGAATAATAAAGTGACATAAGGTAAGCACAGGAAGCTTCAATTACCAACATCAAAATCTGGGAATGCCTTATATTCCTTTTACATGTTTATCAAAGGTGGGAAGCAAAGCTTTGTACAGATGAAAGGGCGGGGAGCACTGGTATTAAGCCTAGGCTGAATAGCGGATTACCAGGCATACTTTTACAATATTGATGTCCACCATCCCACTCCAGAGACCTCTGTTTAATTGGATTGTGTACTTCTTGACAACAGGATATTTAAAATTCAGCTGGAAAATTCTCTCAGGCAATTGGGTAGATGAACCATCCTCTATTTAGGATCCTCCTGTATCCACATTTTCTTTTTTTCAGTTTTTCACTTTATACTACCACTGGGAATATTTCAGTCTATTTGTCTGAATATTCCTTTGCTAAAAAGAACAGAAAATTTGGTACATGTGTGCCAGACAAGAGAAGTTTACTTAAACAAAACAAAACAAAACAAAGAACAAGGAAGCATACAAAAGCCGTCCTGGCTGAAGTACCTTTCTATAAATTCAGTAGGCAGGAATATTCACATATATTTGAGATAACGCAATATATGTGAACAAGTGAAATTGTGCCAAATCAATGTGGGAAGAAAAAAAGAGAAAGAGAACAAAGCCAAAAGCTGATAGTTGTGTTAAGCACCGTTAATGAGTTACAGCCTCAAGCTCCACGTACCTGAATGATGGCTCCCAGGTCGTCCACAAAGCTGTTTACCTCCGATAGCAGTAGCGATATAATCGACTTCCTCAACAAGCCACAGCTTCCTAAGGTCACGAGGCTCTGCGAGACATAATGCTGCACCTGGAACTGCAAATGAAAATGAATATTTTCCTTCACATCAGCATACTTAACAGACAACTTCTAAGACCTTTGTTGCTAAGGTAAACTCTGGGAGGAGTATAAGATGTTGGCATAGTTCGGGGTTACTACCGAGAGATACTATGAACAAATTATTCTAATGTAGGTCCTGTGATTTTATGTCAAAAGTTTTAAATGTATCACAGTGCTAAAATGGAAGAAGTTGAACTGTCGTAAAGTATGAGTTTAGAACACCTAAGAGACTACATGAAAAATGAAGAAAGAAGATAATAAAACTCACTTTATGTCATCACTAGATAGAAGACAGACAGACAGACAGACAGACAGACATGTACACTAGTAGATTAAAAAGGTGGTGGGTGAACTTTAAAGGCTCTGAGAACTAGGGATCTTCTGTGTATCTCACATCCACAGTGGAGAGGATGGGGTGAACCACTTCCCTATTTACCAGAAGCTTCATAGTTATGAGGAAAAATATGTGATGGTCTGAGTTCTCTTTGTTAGTTCTTTTAATTATTTCATCTATCTATCTATCTATCTATCTATCTATCTATCTATCTATCTATCCATCTATCTACTTATCTGTCTGTCTGTTTTACAGTGCGGGTACATGTTTGTGTGTCTATGTGCATGAGTGTGTAAAAGTTCCAAATGTACAAGCATAGGTCAATGGAAGACTTAAGAGAATTGGTGCTCTCTTTGCTTGTGTGGATTCCTGGGATCAAATTCTGATCATTTGGCTCAGTGACAAGCTTTTATCCACTCAACTATCCTGACAAACCACCACCTTTAAGAAAACCACAAATGCCAACAGGAAACAACATATCACATCTCTGCTATTGGAAATGAAGCCGTGTGATCAAAAATATAAAAAAAATCATACTGTGAAATATAAAACTCATGAGCAGGACTTCATGTAATATGACCTTTAACACAGCTGAAAGAAAGAGGCTTGAGGCAGAACTGGCCAGATTCCATCACTGTTCTCTGTGAGTTTAAATAACACTGAGGAAACATCAATTTCAGTGCTACATATGCCAGGTGATACTATTAAATGTTCCACTGTGTCTTTTAAGATAAACATATGTTTACAGATTGATACTTTAACAGTACATATTCTTTTAGGAGTTCACAATGACAATAATAACAATCATGCTAGAGTTCATGAAAATATTCACATAATTCTGTAGTATATAGCTTATACTTCACAGTAGCCCAAGATAACCTAATTCTGGAAACATACTACCATAGGGACATAGGGACACTTAGATATTTCCTTATCATTGTTTATTAACAACATAATTGCTTAAGATTCAGACTGCTCATGAAGTTGGAGCATGACATTTCTTTACAACATTTTCATTTTTGTAATTAAAGAAAAACATGCCCTTATCTGAGCTGAGAGATTTCAGATGGCTGTTTTAACTGATGCTTTGTGTGTGTACCCTTCTCCACATTTTAATTCTTTAGCACATGAGTGCAAAATTTACTGAAAATGAGGGACACTTTGAAGGAGTAATAGAGTGGTGATGCCAGTGATGAGGTTACATTAGAGACTCTAACTAATGTCATCTGATTCAAATCTTAGTCTGGCTGTTTCAGAGTTTGTACTAGCACTTACTTGGCCTTTTGTGTCATAGACTCCAGACATGCAAAACGACAACTGTGACAGTAACTACTTTGTAGAATTGTTAGGCACATTAAGGTAAGACGGTGAAAATGCTTAGCATAGTGTCAGACACCTAGTAAAGTGCCCAATAGGCAACACGAAGCTACAATTCCTAACAATAATTTCAAAGCATTGGTGGGTAGAGGATATAAATTTAAATTATTAGCCACTGAAAAGCTAAATGCTATGAGTATGGAATGATGCAATCCTGCTGGTGAATGATGCTGAGAATACAGACAACTTCAAAATAAAGACCTCATCTACAGTATAACAACAAAGAGCTACTATACTGACTAAATTCATAAAGAAAATGAACTGTATAATTCTTACTGCTGTTTATAATTCTGTAAATGTTATTTTAAAATGCCCTCTATATATCTGCAGTTATAATCAAAGCTGCTTCTCTTTTAAGACACAATGGAACCTTTGGAGAGACTGAATAAAAACCAGAAATACCAACAATAAAGGCCTGGCCCAACACCCAAATCAACCTCTTTTTTACTTATCAAATCTCCTTTATTAATAATCTTTACTCAAATGCCTGTGTAGCAAGGATGAGCTAAGTTCTGCTGATGAGACTGCTCGCTGAGCCCCTGAGTTAAAAGGGCATTACAGAAGAATAGACTGGACATAGATGCTCAGTGTGCATTTCCTTGCCGAGGGTCTGCCTTAGCAATCATTCCGAATCCAATTAGACAGGTTCTTTGTAATCACCGCAGAAGCAGCAACTTCATTTGTGATCTTATAGGTTAGAGAGTTCTTCCTTAAAACTCAGTTCCCAAAGTCCTATCTCATCTTGAGGAAGCACAGGGTACACTGCTACATTAAACTCGTGGAATATGGAGGGTGAAAATTCCAACCACACGCCCAATTCATTGTCCCCGTGCACTGCATAGGAACAATGTAGGTAGGAAGAGCCGAGACATCAGAGGATGGTCAGTTCAACTGAGGCATCTAGGATTATGTAGTGTTTTTGTGCAGAGGTACCATTTCCTCTACCTCTAGTTTACCATTGGTAGGCACATGGTGATCCTAATGTGCAGGCAAAATGAAGCAGTTTGCATTTGCTTAGTTAACAAGCACATACTTTTTTTTTCACTACTTTTAAATCTATGTCAATCCGTTGTCCCTTAGCCATTAGTTTATAAGAACTGCAATCTTCAAATTATTCCACAGGACATCGGGTTGATGTGTTATATTGGTTATCATGATGGTAAAAAGCAGGTATTTTGAAGGCTCTAGAAAACCATGAGTATTGTAGAAAGTAAGAGATAAATCTCAGAATATGGGCTATAAGCAGCCTATGGTTCATGCTGAAAGAGAGCTATGAATATTTCCCAACACAAAATCGAAAAAATCTTGAAATATATTGTAGGATTAATTTTAAATTATTTTATTTTATGTGTATGTTTTGCCTACACATTATGGCTGTGTGCCATCTGTGCTTGCAATATCTACAGAGGTCAGAAGATGGCATCATGTCTCCTGGAGTTGGAGTTACTGATAGTTATTGACTATCATGCGCGTGCTGGGAACAAAACCAAGTTCGCTGTAAGAACAGCTAGTGCTCATAACCACTGAGCCATCCCCAGCCCCTGTGAGATTAGAGGTTGGTTTTTCTTTCTTTTCCTTCTTTTCTTTCTTTCTTCCTTCCTTCCTTTCTTTCCTTCCTTTTTGTAATTTTATTGTGTGGTTTCTGAGCATGAAATGAACATTGGCATTATGCCTCAACCTCAAAAAGGTTCAACAATGCTTAAAGGAAGCATTCTGGAGCTAGTATTACCAGTACTGTTAACATGTAGCAATAGTTATTCTAAGACTCTGCCAAGCAGTCATCTCTATATTTGGTTTGTGGTTCAGATTTATAGTACCAAGTATTCCAGGAAACCACAAATTGAGGAGAATAACTAATTATTTCTGGCATTTGGAACATAAAAATGCAAAACACAGTTTGGGAAAAAGAAATTTCCAATTTTGGTTTTCAGAATTTTTACAGTTTAAAATTCAGATAAACATGGGCTTATCATAAAATCTGAACAAATAAATTTGAAAAAAAGATACCATCTAAAAAACAATAATAAAAGTGACAAACATGATTTCCAAACACATGAGTCATTAGTCAGACATCAAGTATAGGATAGAAAATTATTGTGAATAAAACTTCTCAGAGTATTAAGAAAAATTTGCAGATAAGAAAAAATGATTAAATGTTTAACTAAGCCAAGAAGATAAATACCAGATTAAAGGGAAAGGTAGTAAACTGGGAAAATGAAGGAAAGGAAACCAGATAGACATGAAAAGCACTGTGTGATGTATAAAAAGGAGCTACAGGTTTTAAGAGAATCAAGAGGCATAGCTTATTCAGAATTTGAAAATAAAAGGAGAAAGAAAAAGGGAAGAAGAGACTGATGGAGGGAAGAAAGAAGAGCAGAGGGTGAAGCTCTATTGATCAGTGATAGAGTATACAGCAACCTGGCCTAGAATGTACAGTGCTCTGGGAAGGATCCTGGTAAATAAGAAAGGCCGTGGCAGGGAGAACAAGAGGGAGGGAAAACTGTGAAAGGGTAACGGAAAACAATTTATTGAACAATAAAGCTCATAGACGTAAGAACTGTAATACATATTAAAAGAAAAAAGATAATAAGATCAACAACATAGTTATTCAACAGAGCAATGAAAACCTTAATAGTCTATCACCATCAAAATACTCGTATTTAATATCGTATAATTTTCTGTATGGGGGGGGGTGGAGCCAAGATGGCGACTAGCACACACAGTTTCCAAGCTGTGGAAGAGATAAAGTTCTGAGTTGATGAGTGGAAGAACTTCTGAAGCCAGGGAAACAACGGAGAGATTTTCTAAACAGCAGGGAACATCTCAGGAGGTGAAAACCTTGGTCTCCGGTCACCCAGGGACTTGTTTGGGGAAGGTGAGAAACGATCCTTTGATCTCTCGGCACTCCCCTCCCCCAGACCTCCCTCCTCCTCAGCACAGCAGACTCGCCTTTCTCAGCGCAGACCTAACTGCCTGGGGCCTGCAGCCACTGAGGCGGAGCCCCAATCCCCTTATCGGCAAAGGCCAGCAGTACTGTGTCTCGGAGCCCCAGATTCACGCGCGGCGGCTGCACCATCCTCCCAGGGCCTGAGTCTGCTAGACACCATACTATCTCCACAGGAGCGCCATCACTGACGGTACGGCCCGCCCAATCCCACAGTGACAGAGAATACGCTATATACTCACCAAAACCAGACAGAAACGCCATACAAGCTAGACACACCAGGCGCTGGGCCTCCGAAGCTTGGAGAGCACAGTAAAGAGA